GGGCTTAAAAGAATGTGTGAGGCCGCTCCAAAGCACACAACTCATATAAATCATAATGTGCTGTCAAAAAGAAAGGTTATAAACATCTGACATTCTCTTACAAAGATCGTAAGTAGAGCTTACATTTCTGATTCTGAAAGGGGTAGCAATACTATAGAGCAGGGGTGTCAAACTCGTGGCTTGTAGGCCGCATGCGTCATGTGCTGGCCACCCTGCCCCATTTTAGCAAAGGGGAAAATGGCGTGATATGTCATGTGACAATGAGATGACAGGAGTTTGACACCCCTTGCTATAGACCAATGCATAAGCTCGCTCATGGTGGATCTACTCATCTAGAAAGAGTGCAGAGAAGAGCAATAAAGATGATTAGGGGGCTGGAGGCTAAAACATAAGAAGAACAGTTGCAGGATTGGGTATGTCTAGTCTAGTGAAAAGAAGACTAGAGGTGACAGCAGTTTTCCAATATTTGAGATGCCGCCACAAAGAAGAAGGGGTCAACCTATTCTCCAAAGCATCCAAAGACAGGACAAGAAGCAATGGATAGAAACCAATCAAGGAGAGATTCAACCTAGAATTAAGGAGAAATTTCCTGACAGTGAGAACAATTAACCAGTGACGCCAGAAGTTATGGATGCTTCACCATTGGAAGTTTTTAAGAAGAAATTGGACAGCTATTTGTCTGAAATGGTATAGGGCCATGATGGTGAACCTATGGCATGTGTGCCAGAGGTGACATGCAGAGCCCTCTCTGTGGGTACGCACACTGTCGCTAGCTGTTCTTCCAGGTTACGGTGCATGCATGTACGCCGGACAGCTGGCCCGGAGTGCATGTGCGTGACAGAACCTGGAAGAGCAGCTGGCCGCCACACTCTCTTCTGGGTTCCATGTGCTTCGGCGCAGACTCCAGTTTAAGCACTCATACTGAAAAGCTTAATTATCACTGGTATAGGATCTCTTGCTTGAGTGAGGGGTTGGACTGGAAGACTGCTGGAATTCCTTCCACTTCTATTATTCTGTATTTTTTCTATGATCATGTGTATCCATCCCATGAAGCCCAAAGAAAGTTCAGAATCATATAGCATCTCATGCCATGGGTTGTACTAGAAGGTCCCTATCTTATCAACTGCAGTGATTCATTTAACAACTGAGGCAAGAAGTTTGTAAAATGGGGCAAAACTCAATTAACAAATGTCTCACTTAACAACGGAAATCTTGGGCTCAATTATAGTCGTAAGTCAAGGACTACTTATATAAGTTTTGTCATGAGGAAATGAGATGTCCTGGTATTTCCATTATTCTGAACACATTTCGCAGGAGGGTGTAGAAGTATAATGCATGTTTGCCACTTTGAGTTCTTATAAAGTAATAAAGATAGGATTAGGAAAAAAAACTAGGGCAAAATTGATCTCTTCAAAGATAAAACTTATTTTTCAAATAAAAACTAATGAAGTGTAGAATGCAAGCCTGCAGTTTGCCATTCAGCATGGAAAAAAAAATCTCCTGCTTTTCTGCATGATATGCAAATAATGGTTAATATTAACTTGCTAACGTCTGTGTGATGCATAGTTATGCAAATACTACTATCATTATTTGATCAGAGTTGATAAGTAACACAGTAAAATCCCCACTGTGTAGTAGTTATAGTTCTGTATAGTCTGCACAAATTCCATGCAGTGAAAAAAGGCAGTATTTAAAAGGAGCAGAGATAAAACAGATAATACTCTGTTTCATAAACTTCTCCCCTATTCTTCCTTCCATAATCATTTTAATAAAAATGTATCAGTTTTCCTTGGCCTGTACATAACCTGGAGAGAACATAATAAAATGGTATGGGGTCTCCTGCTTGAGTAGGGGGTTGGACTAGATGACATACAAGGTCCCATTCGAATCTGTTATTCTATTCTAAATACTTAGTTTAAATATGCAAGCAGCTCTATAAAATGAAAGCATCAATGTTATTACATTATGGCCCAGGAAATCCTAATAGTTCAGTTACCCTGTGGAGCCTGACTCATATTAATCTCTCATACAGAGACCTATAGTGGCATTAACTAGAACAAAAGGAAAATGGGGAAAAAAACTGGCTATTATCTAACATTTATTTCTAGAGAGAGTCTAAAATATTTTAGATCGTAGGATGTCAAGGGGTTGTGCAAGACATCAGAAGTCATGTCCCTCACTGCTTGCTGGCTTATTGTATTTAGTTTTTCCAAATTCCATGGAATGGCCCTTTCAATAGCATGCTTTTATGTGTATTAGTTTTGCTTTAAAGCTGCTTCCAAATTATTTCCCATTTTAAAAAAATCTTAACTTTAACTTTGAGATTTAATGATTACGACAAGAGTGGGGTTTTTTTTTTGTTTGTTATAGAAGTGGCTAGTATTTGTTGAGTATGTAAAGTTAAAAGGTGAGGCTATAACATTATTATGCTCATTCTATAGCACTGAACCAGAAGTTAATGCTTTTTTTCTCTCTTTCCTCTTCATACTACACGTCTCTCTTTTCCATTTTCCCACTATTTTCATTTTAATTTGTATTTTATGCTCTAATAAATTTAATAAAATTATATTATTAAATATACAGTAATCTTTACTGAATAAAATGCTGTCTATATAGATTTGCTGCAATCCCCATAATTCCTAGATCATGTGGTCAAAATCTGGAAGTTCTGTGAGTTACATCTGGGTGCTAAATACACTTGGGAGTCCACCAGGTTGAAGAAGTTAACTATACTAATACCAGTTTTATTTATACAAGAACATATTAGATATATACACGCGTACAACATGAAAACACAGTAGTACATCTTGCATGCATTTGCAGATACAGTATTCATATAATTGATAGTGTACATTATTACATCCTATGGAGGAGGGGGAGAACGAGGACGAGGGAGTAGTTGTCAGGAATATTTTCTGTCCGTATTTTTATATACATCACTTTTTTGAATGGATAATGTCAAGACAACATCTCTCTGCAGCTTTTAATGGATGAGAAACTATTTAAAAAAACCAAAGCTTCCCTCATAAAGTCCTTGAAAGACAGCAGCCAGTTAGAATATAAATGACTTGGAGTGTATATTTGAGTCCATATTTTTATCCTTCAATAAAACAGGCTGTAACTATTTTGGTTTAACTAAAATCAGATAGCAACTTTCCAGATCATTTCATGCACTTCATAAAATAGTTACTATAAACATCATGCTACAATGAATGTTATTATGATAAATTTAAATAAATAACTTTAGCTTCAAAAACCCCTCAGAGCTTAAAGGTGGGATACTTGAAAATCATTCCTCACACAGCCCAATTTGGAGACTCTTTTCTGGGTTTGCCTGCTAAACAAATTGCACTGAGGAACTGCTACGGAGAAGAACTTCTCAGAGATCATACCCTATTATGCAAATCCTAGAGAAGTTCACTTGCGTGGACTCTGGCATACATCTAGTTTGAATATGTATTTACATATTCATACTGAATGCTAATTCCACATTTCCCCAAAAGGAGAGTCTTGATCTGCCAAGAATAAATATGAGTTATGTTTCTTTCTCAAATATCTTTTTATAATCTATTTATATGTGAACTTATAAAGATATAATAAAGAATCAAACCAATATACTATAGAGATAATCCTCAACTCACCACCAAAATTTAGACCTGAATTTCTGTTGCTAAATGATGTGGTCATAAAGCAAGACGTCACATCACTAAAGTCCTTAGCAATCCCCATCCCTACTGCCATCTCAATTCCAGATACATGTGCCATTCAGTTGCTAAATCATGCAGCCTGTTGTTGCAATGGTTCAGAAAGCCTTCAGAAAACTTCCAAGATCTTCCCCAGGTCTTGCGAGAATGGGTATGTTATTTGAAGAATAATGACAGCTTTCTAAAGCTTTCTGAAACATCTCTTAAGAATAGGCAAATCAAATAAGTAACTTCTTCTCCAATACAATTATCAGCAAAAAGCTCAGAGTTTTAAATAAATTAACTCAACATCCCACATCTAAAACCATAGCTGTAACAAAATCCCATTTAAAGGAATACAATGGCCCTGATATCCTAATTTAAAAATAAATAAAAGGAAGCCAAAGTATGATGAAAGGAGGCCATTTCTCATTTACAAAAGACAAGCTCCAATTATTCACTGTAATTTCATGTCTCTTTTTCTGGTTTATCACCACACGAGCCTTCGACATGTAGCTGAGGATTTATGATTGTAGTCATGAACCAACCTAATTTTACCATTTTATTGCCAATTCAGTTCATCTTTTCACAGTTGTTTCATTCTGGTGATCCACTTTCAGTGTTTACTGTTCTTTAAAAAACCTGATGTAATCTACCACTGAACTCTTCATCCCATACTTCCAACAAGAGATCATTTAAGGACAAGTGTAATAGCTCTTGTCCCAATACAAATACTTAAAGAACCTCTTTTTAAACTTCTCACTATTATGAAATTAATATTAAAGGGCACACTTTTTTATGACCTGAACGTGAGATTTATTTTTGGAAATGCTTCTGTCAAAAGCTTTATTAGAAAAAGACTATAATGTTTCCCAAGGGAGCTTGGTCTGTTTTCGTGGTGACACATTTAACCAGCCATGGCTGGCAGGGACCAGATACATTAAAGAAATGAAACTTCAGTTGGCCTGAGGACTGCGCCAGACTTTAGCTGTCATGTTGGGGAAGCTTTCCCAAAGTGGATAGGGCTGGGGGCTAAATTTTTAAGAAGTAAAATTAATGCATTAAATACATACAAAGCTTAAGGCTTTTACTTTACCCTTTGAAACCTTTCCAAACTCTTTCTTCAAAATGCAAAAGGGGGAACCCACCAGTTCCCCCCTTTCCTCTGGAGACCACAAGAGGGATGCTGGTGAATTCATGTGGCCCCTGGATTACCCCTATACTAAATAACTCCTACAGTGCCCACCTATCATGAAAAAGACATGAACATGCATTTTCCCATCCCCGTTAAGAAAGAAAGGAGGCAGATAGACTTACTAGGCACTCGGTTAATGGCTTTAAGGGGCCTCAGAACTCGTACAGTGCGAATTGCAGACAAGTTAATATTTTGAAGATCCAGGGAATATTCCACCATCCTGCAAAAGATGAAAGACACTGAAACTATTATATATGTTTAAAACCAATAGAGTAAATGAGGGATACAGGAGTTAAAGCTGCTCATGCTGAGAGAACGGCACCAAATCCCTTTAGTATGTCATTTCTTCTTCCTTAGTCTATCCTGAGAATTTGATGGCAGGAAAGTATTGGGGGAAGCATCACTCTGCAAATCGTATTATAGGTTGTCACTTCACTGGGGCTGGAGAGACTAAACAAATGAGGAGCATCCAGTGCTGTATATCTCCGGCAGCATCTTTAGGTTATGATGACAGCATTAGGCTATAGATTCAATAGTGCAGTGTTTCCCAAACTTTTGACATATGTGTACCCCTTCTATAATTTTCGTAACGCTGAGTACCCCTCATAAAAAACATATGCTTTAATAAAAATCAAAATATATTTATTTTATTTTTTTTGGTACATACGCAAAATAAANATTTCCTTGTTCTGTGGGCGCAGCTAAGCACGGTGCAGTGGATATTCCCACGTGATCCCCACCAAACTCCGGTGCAACACGTACCCCCACCAAACTCTTCCCGTACCCCTGGGGGTACGCGTACCACACTTTGGGAAACACTGCAATAGTGGATACCCTTTGGGAATCTTTAAATCTGAACATGTGCATTCCACAAGTTTTACAAAAACCAGCCTCCCCAATTCCTCAGGTTCAATTAAAAATGCTACCCTTAATCTCTAGGATCTAAAAAGAAGCAGGAGATCAGAATTTTCTTTTCCCATTTATTCCCACCATATTTTATTCTTGATCATACTGGCTGGGCTGGATGCCTAAATTTGTTCCACAGAATCTGAAGATCCACCTGCTGTAGAGAATGAACAATTTCAGTACTTTAAAAATTAACAGTGTTTATGTGTTAATTTTGTACTATGAGCCTCCACAGAAAAGATATCTGTATTTGTATATGCATCTATAAATAAACACACAAAATGGAATATATAAATCATAATGCTGAATCTCTAACAGGAAACAGAGCTTTTTGAGATAGTACAGGGTACAGATTTGTGTGTGTGTGCATCACCTACTTTGCTTTGTACTATCTTATTCCAGGATTCTAATCAGGATTAGAAGATTTCAATAAATGTTACTGGTTTCTTTTAATTCTGGACAAGACTTCATAGAATCTGTTTATTAAATCAGAGGAGAGGAGAAGAAATGAGAGTAATGTAGGCTACTTCTGCTGACTGCCGGCTGCCTGCAATTTGGCAGTTCAAATCTCACCAGGCTCAAGGTTGACTCAGCCTTCTATCCTTCCGAGTTGAATAAAATGAGAAGGCAGATTGTTGGGGGTAATATGCTGACTCTGTAAACTGCTTAGAGAGGGCTGTAAATACTGTATATAAGCCTAAATGCTATTGCTAAAGCACATGGGAAAATAATCAAATTTTGGTTGCCAGCTGCAATCACCATTGATCCTGTTCTGACCCTCTTTGCTGTTGCCAGTGAGAAGGTATAAAGACTGTAAGCCAGCATTTCTTCTTAAGATCAGTGCAGAGTATTTTAGTTTTAAAATAAGTGATCTTATATACATGCATACTGGCTGAATTCACATATTATGCTGAGCTATAATGAGGGTTGCTTGCTTATGGTTTAAGTAATTTTCAGCTTCAATATAATAGTTTGATTAGGCAAACAATGTATGTATGTATAATCTTTATTGTCTTTGTACTTAAATACAATGAAATTGGTTTAAAAAAATTTTTTTTGCCTAACTCTACCGTGGCACCAGGAGCTCAAAGCCGCAGCGTCTAAGCGCACCGTCATTGGGGGGGGGGGGAGAGACACGGACTAAAAAAATATATGCTTAATGCAGCATAGGAACTCAATCACAGTTTATTCTGTCTGGTACCTGCCTTCCAATAGAGAAAATTGTAACTCAGTGCAACCTTCACAGGAGATCCAAACCGTAACCTAACTTGTGTAAGCCAGGTCTCTAACTTTGCAAGATTCAAAAAGAGTAGGCTTATGCTTTACGAGGCAACTGGATAGGAGCTTCTTGAATCAGTGTAAGCAACCAACTCACAAAATAGTATAAATACACAGAGACAGCACATCACTGAATGCTCAATGCTATAAGACAACTGTAAAAAGAACTCCTGCCATCCATGACCTGGATGCATCCAAGAAAGAAGATGCACCATTGGCTTGATCTGATCAGACTTCTCTATGTGCTGATAAATGTCTCTCAAGGACATGCATGCTTGCTATTACTGATCTCTTGTCAGTGGAGGAAGCGAGGTGGCAAAAAAAGTAGTTTCCCTCAACCTAGCATTCTCTATATATGCGTTTATTTTTAAATTCCATGCGGTAGATCATCTGATGTAACCGGAGGGTACCAAGTTAAAAAATCAAATCAAAATCCAATTCTTGTGAGTCCTGCTCCTGAACTTTAAGAGCAAAGAGACTAGAGCTGACAAAATTAAGTGGTATAATTAATCAATTAATTCATGAGTCATATTAAAATTCAGAGCAGTTTCCCATGGGAAGAAAGTTCAGGTCTGATGACATTGTCATAAACAATTTATGTTCATCCTGTCAGTCAGGGGATGCATTTGTGATGATCTTTCAAAGAATAAATGTTTTGTCAGTGAGGCTTTTCTTTGACCATCAGCACATTGCAATAAATTTTAAATGTTCAATTTAATTGATAGAATAGGTCCATTTATAGAAGTACTTGAGAAATCAGCCCTTGCTACTGGGGGGGGGGGACTTGCTTTTTGCCCACAAAACATTTCCTTCTTCTTTTGGTCCAAAAATATAAGAATTGATATCCATAATTGGGGTTTATTCTAACCTGTAGCAGAACCCTTTGTATTGCTGGGAGCGGAGTAGATATTTTGAAATTGGGAATATGAAATGAATTGGAGATATATTTGTTGAAATATAAATTAGGTTCTTTTTAATTAGCATTATTTTATATTAACAATATATTACTGGTACCAAATATTTCATTAGTTAAAAGCATTTATGAATTGTTTGAATTGCTTATAAATATTTGGGGCTAATCAATAACTTAATAAATAAAGCTTTAAGTAAATTTAAGCAAGAGTGCTTACTTCACTTAGCATGGCAAATATAATCTTCTAAGGGGGCTTGAATATATATAATATTGCAAATCAGCAGAAAAAGTTAGAATCTAATATTTTTTCCTTTTTTTAAAAAAATCTGTTTTTCTTTTTATTAAATTAACATTGTTATAATGTTTCTCTGTATTTTCAATAGTTATTGAAATAATAGAATGTTAATAATTTCAATTCACACAGTACAAATATCATTATATGAAAACAATATAAGGTTTAGAAAAAGAAGGGGGGGGGAAATCCCCAAATTAAAAATATATATATGGTGTCATGTAAAATGCCTTCCTTCCTTCATTTATTTATATATACACATCCACATCCACATCCACATCCACATCCACATCCACATCCACATCCACATCCACATCCACATACACATACATATACATATACATACATATACATACGCACATACACACACATTGTAATTGGATCATTACCATTTGAAATTGGATCAAAGAACTGCTAGTTTTGTGAGCTTCTGAGAAAATATATTGATTTATTTGTTCAAACTCTGAGGGCATCTGTTTGCTTTGAAACTACATATATTTCCTTGGTTTTGCGTCTTTCATTTTGGGACTATCTTTAACTATCCAGAAAAGTATCCTTTTCCTAGAAGGACTGTTAGGAATATAATCTAACGGTTGGGTTGGCAATATATAAATCATGTAACAATGCTATACCTGTTTCTTTAAATCATACTGTAAAATGTGATTGGTTGCTGTTTTCCTCAACTGGCCATAAGAGGGAGCCAGAATGACTGTTAGCTCTCTGGTTTGTTAGATGCTGGGCTGAGCTGACTGTTTTTTTGGAAGCTGGCTGTTAGAAAGTGCTGTGAGCTATTGTAAGTTTTGCAACTGCTAGCAAACTTTGAGTACCGGACTGTTTGTATGTTTATGGACTATGATATTTGGATTATCCCTTAACTGAAAGACATTGATGATTGACTGTCTTATCCGTGTATGACTTAGACTGTTGGATGGACTCTGATACTTCTATTTCCACGAAAGTAAAAGCCTATTTAAACTGCAGTGTCTCTGTATGCTGGTGTGTGTGTTCTCCAACACAACTCTCACAACCCTCTTCTGAATGCACTCGCTCTCCCAATGGGGAGCTTACCTAACAAGGACTGCTCTAGAACTTCAGCAAAGGGATAGAAGCCTTCTCATCTATGTTGACAGATGCCTCATCTGTGCAATGGCTGAAGCTGGTGAGGCAGGAAGTAGCAATGCTCTGACCCGAAAAAACGGTTATATAAACATTGAGTAGACATCTCAAGGCTAGGAAAAGAAGCTGCAATGTAAACCCTGGAGCATACACACACACACACACACACACACACACACACACACACACAGAGCTTGATTTTTGTGTTCTGCATGCACAGAGCTTTTATCTTTTGTGCAATAAAGCCAATTATTTAGCTAAGTCATGTTTCTGAAGCATCTGCTTTAAGCACATTTCTTGAATACAGGACGAAGCTATGGAAAGTTAAGATTTATTGCTAAGCCTGGGGTGAAATCTGGATATCTGGGACTAGAAAGGATGATTGCATGAGTATATGAGTAGCTGCCATGGGTCCGGATGTCTTATTGCAGGCAGTGTACTCTTTTGCCCCATAACTACAGGGCTCATTAGCACCTAGAAGCTTTTGCTTTTCATCATCAGGTATGATTTCACCACTACAAACATTGCATCAATGCTGGTTCAACCCACTGTGCTGCCACACCTCAAGGACAGCGTCAAGATTATCTTCAGTCAGTTTCTTGATGAGACTGCTTATGCTGGTTTCTACAATGCTTTTCAAAAATACCCAGAGTTTATCGTGGCCTATATCTGGCATCATTACAAGCACAAGCAAGGGCTAACTTGCGATTACTCT